GAGTCTACCGATTGAATAGAATTTTTCAATTTTATTATAAACAATTGTCTTGTAAATGGAATTTTTAAAGCATTCTGAATGTAAAAATAAAGAAAAAATGTGTGCAAGACAATAAGAAACACTATCTGCCAAAAAAAAAGTGAAGTTTTGTTGAAATCGGTTGAAATCCGATCCCATATATAAAGGAACACACACACACACACACACACACACACACACACAACCTGGGTTTTATAAGTATAACTCGATATGAGTTGTCCCCCTTTCATTCTCGAAACAGTGATGCCTCTTAATCGTGTTTTCAAATTGATTTCGTGCAAAAACAATTGTGTTTTTCCAATTTTTGGCACTGTCAGAACCACTGCAAGGTAATTTTACGTAGTCCTGTGAAGTTTTGTTGAAATCAGTTGAAAAATGTAGGAAATCTGATCCAATATATAAACGTACAGACACACACACACACACACACACACACACACACACAACCTGGGTTTTATAATAAGTATGATGACATTCTTGTACATGTAGTTATGGATAATATTATACATTAATTACAATTTTTTTTAATTAATAACTATTTGTGCTCTGCTGTTGACATTGAAAGCTATCTGCTGATGTGTTAAAATTTTGGAATAATGCAATAATAAAAATTTAAATTTCATCTCTCTGTTAGATGTCATGATCTAACAAACTTCAAAACAAAAAACCTGGAACAAAGCATTCTCTAGGACAGAACAAGAAGACTATTAAAAGCTCACTTAATTAAGCTGTAGGACTGGATGATGTCCACTATCAGTTTTTAAAACAATTCCCAAAAGATTCATTAAAATTGTTACTCAAAGTATACAATGATATCTGGATGAAGAACAAGTTCCCGGGACAATGGCAACAAACAACTCTCTTGCTGATTCCAAAACCAGGAAAAGACAATTCAGACCCTGGAAATTATAGACCAATTTCTCTAATAAGATGTTTAATAATCAGTTAGTGTGGTACTTGGAATCTAACAAATTAATGAGTTTTACAATGTGGCTTTCAAAAAAACAAAACAAAAGTACAATGGACCACCTGGTTTGGTTGGAAAGCCTTACAAGGGAAGCATTTATAAGAAAAGAACATGTAGCTACTGTATTCTTTGACTTGTGAAACTACTTGAAAATATAGGATCATGTGAGATATACATTACCTCAGACTGAAAGGTTGACTATGAGAATTCCTTTTGAATAGAAGTTTTTAGGTCTGCATTGGATCTGTTGTGTCTGATCCCAAAAATCAAGGAGTGTCTTGAGGGAGCATATTGTCAGTTATGGTGTTCAGTATTAAAATAAATAAAATTGCGAAAGAACTCACTCAAGGCATAAATGGATCTTTGTACATAGATGATTTTACTGTAAGTTACCAATCCAAAATATCCACACCATAAAAAGAAAATTGCAATAATGCATAAATAAGATCAACAGATGAGCAATAAATAACAGTTTTAGATTTTCTAAAACTAAAACAAAACTCATGTATTTTTGTAATAAAAATAAATTGCATAATGATCCAAGATTGCAATTTGAAGAGACAGAAATCCCAATGGTAGATGAGTACAATTTCTTGAGAATAATTCTTGACAAGTAACTAACATTCATACCACACCTAAAATATCAGAACAAAATGCAGTAAAACATTACAACTCCTGAGAGTGGTGGCCCACAAAAATTGGGGAGCAGACTAGCAAACACTATTCAAATTGTACAGGACATTAATTTGATCCAAGCTGGATTATGAAAGCTTTATATACCAATCTACAAGGAAATCTTATCTCAAAATACTTAACCCAATCTTCCACGAAGGTTTAAGATAGGTGCTTGAAGCATTTAAAACATCTATAGAAAGTTTGTATGTAGAAACCAAAACTTAGACAGGGAAATCTAACCTTACAATATTATATAAAACTAAAAACAAGCCCCTCTAATCTTGCATACAATATCACATTCAATTCAAAATACAGAAACCTCTTCCAACAAAAAGATAAAGCCATAAAAACCTTAGGAATCCAGATAGAACCTATGATTCAAGAAGTAGAAATCACCTCTATCTAGAATCCATAATACAATAACACTAAATATACCTCCTTGGACCATAAGAATACCAGAAATAAATCTAAAACTCTGCAGCCATCATAAAACAAGTATACATCCATTTATGTTCCAAGAGGTATTAGAAAAAATTAAAATCAATTTTCCTAGACATTCAAACATCTTCACGGGTGGATCAAAATATAAAAAAGAAACAGGATGTGCAACAGTGTATAAGAAGAAAATAAAAAACAAACATCTACCAAAAGAAACTTCAATTTTAAATACAGAGATTTATGTAATAGACCTCTTCATCACTAGAAATGAAAATAAAAAATCTGTACTTGCATTATTTGTAGCTTGTTCTCGTTCCACATACACATGGAACTAGAACAATCTACCCTGGTGGACAAAATATAGGGTTCAGTTCGAAATTACAATCACCTGAAGAAGGCTGGAGTGTGCAATAGCCAAAACATGAATATGTCAATGAAGATGAGGATAACAGTGAGTAATGCAAGTAATCATAATACCTCATCTCTGAGCTATAGACAGATATTAAAAAATATGTAATATTTTCTGATTCCCTATTAGTTATAACAGTAATAAAAAACTTGATGACCCACAGCAGGTGAAATTTCTATGCAGGTTGGATTCATAATCCAACATTAAAGAAATAGTGCTACGCTGGATCCCATGTCATAATAGGAATTAGAGGAAATGACAAAGTAGATTCAGCTACAAAGTCTACCTAAAGGGAAACCTTTGATTAATAATTTCATGATCCCATTATACAAACCTGAAAAGTAAAATAAACAGTTGCATTCAACAGAAATGGTAGAAGTGCTGAACTGACAACACAAATAATAAGCTTCTCTCTGTCAAACCACTTCTCACTGAATAGAAACAAATGTCTAGAGAAAGAAGAAATGATGAAGTAAGGATAGCTAAATTATACATAGGCCATACATACCTCACCTATTCATACTTACTGAAGAATGAAGATCAATCAACATGTACAACATGCCAAGCTTCACTCACAGTGAAACACATTTTAACTGAATGTACTCACTTAGCCCCTATAAAAAGCTAAATACTACAAGGAAAACAACATGAAAACTATTTGAAAACACGGAAACTGTCAACATATTGTCATATCTTAAAGAAATAGGCTTATATCAAAATATAACTTCTATAATAGACCACCTTTTGGGTTGGTGCATAATTATCAGGCGCTGCTGTTTTTTAATAAAATTTTATTGTATTTTCAGGTTATAAAAATGTTTGTTGGTAAGCATACACTCCAGAATAATCATTTAAAAATGTTATTTTTGAATTGTTGTGTTTCTTTTTTCATAATAAATATTGTTTAAAAAACGCCTGATAATTATGCACCAACCCAATACAAATTATATATCTATAAAACCTATGTTTACCCTGAATGTATAAAATTAGGTACAAAATATCTGTAGTTGAAGCTATAAAATTGTGCACAAAATATTTAGATTTTGGCATTAAATAATCCATAGAGGTTGATATGCTGCTAAACAAAAACAATCAACAAATTAAGATTTTTGCTTAAAATACATGCAATATTAATAATTGAGTGCTAAAGCTATCTATTATGGCACTTGGTGAAAATTGAATAACTGACTTTGTAGATTTATGTTGAAATTTTTGAGATGAGAAATTATTATTATTATTATATGCCTTTCTATTCAGACAAGTATACTCATCTTGCTTGCTTATACTCACAATGTTTTTTACCTGTTGTATTCTCTGGCATTCTTCAGATCTCTGTCTGAACAAGAGTATATGACTTTTTGGTACTACTTGACCAAGGGATTGAACCCCAAACTTTCAGGGAGCCAGATATTTAAACCCACTTTAATCCACTAGGCTATGTTATATACTCTAGTTTAATGGAAGAAATAGACAAGCAACAGAAAGGTGTTAGGAAATATCTCCTAACCTTGCAAATTGAAATGCAAACAATGTATCTCCCATAGATTGTATAACAGATTTGGTTCAAATTTTTAAGAAGATTACTGAGTGAATCTTAAAGAAAGCCAGAAGGTACAATTGCCAAAACATTGTGAGTATAACAACCATGATGAGTATATTAGTTTGACTAGAAACATATTTTATAATAGACTTATAAAATGTTATTTAACCCTATCAGCCCATAAGAGATTTCAATTGTTAAATCTCTGGAGTCCTGACGGGATCTTTGAAAAATCTGAATATGTAATGTTAGTGCAATTAAATTGATATATCTGAAAAACTGTTGAAAATAAAGTTGATTTCATGCAAAAGTTAATTTGATTTCTTTTTCAAAAGATACTACATTTAGTCTTGGTATTACTGGTTATGAGATATAGTTTTGGAAATGTATATGGTGGTAGATTTTGGGCTTCTTTACTTGATCATATGATGGGTGTTAACACTGTTTCAATACAGTGGATATGTTCAAGTGCTCCTGGACTGTAAGCATGTGAAACTTGTGGGCATATTTGGGCAATTCCAAACTTAAAGGCTTAAAACCAACAACAGCCAGGATATTAGTTCAATCTGTTTTAGTTACAGTTTCTTATTCAGTTATTAGCCAATGAATATAGAGATAAAGATTCAGAATGTTGGATGTTTCAGCAAACATTTAGAGAAGATACCAAATATGTTTGGTATTGCATGATGATTTTATAGGAGTCACTGTATCCTAAATCTATATTCTTATTCACTGTTATTACCTTTTGAATGCTGCAGAACTTAAAATATAGATTTGGCAAATCAAATTGCAGTAAATTGATAGGCAATACATTTTTCTATAATTAGTTTGAGAACACAAAATAATAGCTGTGACAGGTGAAGGAAAGTGAAAAATTTTATTTTTATCTGTTTAACATTAAAGTTAATTTTTTTTCCTTCAAATTCTTTTAGGTTCATATTTACACCCAAATCCAGAAAGAAACACAATAAAAAATGATGACCTGGAGAAGTATCGCAAATCTTGCTTAACACAAAATCCAGAAAAAGTAACAAGTAAACTTCCAGATGCTAAACCTGCTAATATTGAGGAATACAGGTCAGTGTATCATTCATAATATTTTCCTTTGTGTGTAAAAATAATGAAAAATAATTTCAGGGACTTGCAAATTTTTCTTTACCTTCTTGAGCTTGCCGGTGGACAGCACACTTGTCAGATGAACTAATATAGAAATGTATTTCAAGACTGAAGGCTAATCTTTCAGTTTAACTATTAAAAAAGGCAATGTTGTTGTACCTGGTACTATCCACTAATTTTGATGAAGGGACCATGGTAAATTTCCCCAAATAGGTAGGATTTCCCATAAATGAAAACTCATTTTTGGTTTACTCTGGACTTTTTCACATTTTTAATAAAATTTAGTACATTTTTCTGTTTCACAAAAATAAGTTTGTTTATATCCTTTAGTGAAAAAAATTATGTTAATAATTACATTTAGGAGAACATGATGGCTGTGGACAATTTGTTACTACTAACAATTTGCCACACTTATAGAGCTTCATGATACAAACTGAATGTTGCCTATTTTACATTTCTATGTCAAAGGTTTCTGGAGATATGACCCTTTGACTATTACTAAAAAGGTGAATTTTGAAAAATAATCACAAAGTTTAAATATTAATATCTCGGCTGTTTTTTAACCTACAAAGCTAAATTATATACCATTTTAATGTACCTAGAGAGATCTAAAATGTGATCTATTTATTTTTTGTTTAGAGGTCAAATAAAATAATTTGATATAACTATTGAACTTTAATTTTTCAAAAAGCATATCTTTAATTTTTTTAAAATTTGACAACAAATTTGTCTGCTTTATGCCAAGATATGTACAAAATTTTGTTGTGGCCTGAGTTAAAATTCACATAAAAACCATGGTCAGAAAACCAACAGAATTTGTGTTATTTGTGGTCAGTAAGTAAAGGCAAAATAATCAAAAATGAGGCAAAAATGAAAGTGATGAATTTTTATGAATTAGGTTCTTGGAGTAAGATGGCTACTTCAGTTTGTGGCAAAGAAAATGAAAAATGTATGATGCATAGGTGCCAAATTTGTCCACTGGAATAAGGTGAATTAGAGGTAATGAAAACTCTACCACCAAATACAGTTATGCCTTGATATACAAGTTTAATCTGTTCCAAGACTGAGCACATAACTCAAAACACTCATATCTCAAGTCAATTTTCCTTATTGAAATTAATAGTATTATTTCTGATCCATTCCAGACCCCTAAAAATCACCCTTATTTTTTCTATTTGTGGGTTTCTTACAAGCAAAAACATGAATAAACAAGAAATGTAGTTTACAAACAATGAAATAAAAGAGAAAAAAAACAAATTGAAAATTGCTGCACCAAATAATGGATGCTTAACTGAAACTCGCTCATATCTCAAAATTCAGCTTGTATCTCAAGGGAAAAAAATTGTCTGAACTCCAGCTTGCATCTCAAAAACTCACATGTCAGTACACTAGTACCTCAAGGCATTACTGTATTCATTATAAGCAACATTGGATTGCTGTTTACTAACAGAAAAGAATGAAAACTTACATGATTTCATACAATCTATAAGTTCATTATTCCATGTCTTTTCCTAACTTTCCACTTAGAACTGAGTCTCTACTGTGTGATATGCATATAACTCTGTCTATGGTTTCTGCTTTCATCTCCAAGCTTTATCCCCACAAAGCATGTGGACTCAATGATACCTCTGCAATTTTCCTTAAGAAATATACCCCTAAACTGACCCCCTGTTCTCTACAGTAGATGCCTTTCTACTTCTTGCTTTCTAAATTATTGGAAGTCATCTTTTGTATTCCCATTCTTAACCATTTGATTCTTAGTCTTCTACCTCTCTTTGGCAAAGTACTTGAGGTTCTAATCCACTCTGAATTGATTAAGCATCTCACCTCACAATGTCTTCATTTAGACAAATAGCTTTTACTTCTCTAGGTCAACCACAATGTATTGACAGTTATTGCTGAAAAAGTCTATTAAGCTATAGATAAAAATGGCAAGTTTGTGTTATTGTTTTAGATAATATATATGAAGGCTTTCAAGAGAGTATGGTATGCTGGTCTTCTTCATAAGTTAAATGGTTATGGTGTTTCTGGCTATTTCTTTGAATCTTATTCAATCTTATCAAACCATGTAATGAAAGTTATCTTGATTGGCCACTCCTCTAGATCTTGTTGCATTAATGTGGGTGTAGGGATCTATTCTTGGGCCCACTTTCTTCTTTATTTTCATTAACAACTTTCCTGGTATCATCAGTTCTTGACCCAGTATTGACACTGATGGCAACTATTTATTCCTGTCATAATACTAAGTCTGATATATCTGATAAAATCAAATTGACAACTGATCTTGAAAATGACCTTCAAACTGTTGTTAACTGGGGTAAGAAGTGGCTTGTTAATTTTAATGGTACTAAAATGAAACTGCTCTCTATTAATCATCATAAAGAACCTTTTTTTTGCCTTTCATCTTCATGGCTGATGCTAACCTCCAATTATCTGCAATTTCTTAGACTCACTTTTTCCACTGACATGAAATGGAATGATTACAGTGAAGCAATTGCTAAATCTACTGTCAGTTCATTATGTCATGCTAGAATCTCTCTTTCACATTTATAATGCTACCATTTGTTTTTATTTCTGCCACATCTGGTGTGGTGCTTCTGTTTCATATTTAGAAATTCTTGTTAAAATCTAAAGACGGATATATAATGTAATTGATCCTGACCTGGTATTAGTCATTTCCCCACCATCATAATGTTACTTCTCTTTCATTGTACATTAAATATTTTCATGGTAGATGTTCTGATGAGCTTTCCTCATTGGTATCTTGACTTCATAAATAAGCACAGTACAACATTGGTGGCTAAGTCTCATAATTTTACAGTTGAAATTGTTAGTTATAACCATAAGATCCATACTAATATTTTCTTCTTCTGCACTTCTTACTTGTGGAATTCTCTTTTGCCTTCCTGTTTTCCTGTCAACTACAATCTTCAAAAAATTTATTGCAATGTCAGATGTCATCATCTGTCTCTTTCACTCTCAGCGACCCCCCCGCATCCTGGTGGCTTTGCTTAAGGTAACAAAAAAACAAGTGCAAAGCTTTTATAAATTGGCATCTTACAATATAACACTCTTCCTATCAACAGTGACGAAGTAATGCTTAGATTTTGGGAAGGGTCAAGCTACTGAGAATCTTTTAGCATCCTCTCATTATAGAAGACGCCTTTCCAATGCCATTCCCTTCTGCTCTTTTGTATGGTTCTTATTTCACTTACCTGACAATTTGTTGCATTTAAAGCTTTTGTAAAGCATCCTTATGACAAGATACTGCTCCTATGTAGTATGATTTTACAAGCAAGTAAGGTTGAGAAAATAAATAGGTGAAACTTTTTTTTTCTCTTTACTTAACAGGAATTAAGTTAAGAAAATAGAAAAGATCGATCAAGGAACATAAAGAAAGAAATAGATAAATATGTGGCATTCATAGTAGGGTTTGTGAATAACCTCATCATAAATTTATTTCAAATATGAGAGTGACTGGACAGCCAAAGGGGTAGAATATTTAGGAGCAGTAAAAGTGACCATAACAGAGTCATTTTTATATTGGATGATATGATTGAAGACCAGAAATCCAGAAGGCCTTTTGAGTAGCGAAACAACAGGACCTAATCAGAAAAGATTTATGAAAATCATGTTTTTGAAAACTGACTATAATGTGCCTCACTTATGGTTGCAAGCAGTTCTTAGCTGCATTCCAAGAGAATCCTTGTCATTTCAACTGTCTTGAGATACATTAAATAATGGGCATTAATGCACATAGAAAGTAGTTTGATTGAATTATGAATTTGAATTATAAATTTTGCTTGTTAAGAGAAAAAAATGCATTCTGTTACTTTTTTTCTTACATTCTTTTTTTTTTTTTTTTTTTTCCAGGCATTTATATCCAGAATTTCTTCCTCATCCCAACTGGTTAAGGAGGGATTTTTTGAAGGAGCAGTTAGAGCGAAAAGATATGTATAAGCGTAGGGCAATTCTTTCAATTCCAGAATTTTATGTTGGTAAGTTTCTTTCTACTGATTCAATTTTCTTCTATTTCACTTGTATTGATAAAATCTATCATCTTTGAAACAATTACTCCACTGGTTTCTTCTTATTCTTCCAGCAATCTTGCTTAATATTGGATCTTGTAGAGTTTCCGATACCGATCTCTGTAGAGATAATATGTCAGTTTCAACCCAATGTAATATTTCTTTATCAGGGATTTCCATTTTTTTCTTTTTGATCCTTATCATATTGTAACCTTGACAACGCATTGGCATATGTTATTGTATTTCCTTTTACATAGTCGATGTCGGAATCATAAGCCATTAATTTTATGGTCCATCTTAGAATTCTGGAAGAAGTAACTTTTGGTAGCTCCTTTCTAGGGTTAAAAATAAACTCTAGAGGTTTATGTTCAGACTTTAGTAGGAACTTCTTACTCAAGAAGAATTGTCAACCTCTGTTAGTGCTCCTGATAATAGCCAGTGTCTCTTTTTCAATATTTGAATAATTTATTTCTGCTGCCATCAATCTTGAAATGTACATTATTGGATGGTCTTCTTGTGATAAGATTGCTGAAACAGTTTACACCCATAGTTAATGTAACCTCCTTTCTGGGATCAAAGAGTTTTACAATGGGTTTTTCTGCAAGCATCTCTTTTAAATCCTCAAATGCTAAGTTTGGCCTTTGAGTCCATTTGAACTCACTTACACTTTTTCTGTGGTTCATCAAATGGTTCTATTAAGTCACTGTATTTTGGTAGGTATCTATTATAAAAATTAACCAATCCTAAAAAGGGTTCTAATTCTTTTTTATTAGTATTAATGATGGGATGATACCAATATTTTTATTGATTCCGATACAATTGCTGATGCTGTTCTAAATTTCCGAGTCAAATTCTCCAATTCTTTGGTTATGCTATAACAAATTTTCATGATAGCTTCACAACCTGCTGAAGTTAAAAAGAGGTCAGTTATTTATTTTTTTTTTTATCCCTCTTCTCTGTTTGTCTTTTAGTTATTTAACCCTAAGCCTTGGCTACAAAACACCAGATCTAAGTCACAACAAGTTCTGATCCATCCCAGCAACAAACATACTATCGGTGATGCAATATTATGCTAGTTACCAATCCACTACACTGTCATTCTCTTTATCTGAATTCCTTTTTAAGAGAGCAGTGCCTTTTGAAAGTGTATTTTTGTCTTTAATTATTTAATGATTTGATTCTTATTCTACTGAGTTCTTGTAGCAGTTTGTCTATTTTTTATTTTTAAGTGACGCAAGTTGATAATATTTTTTTCATTGATTGGTTTTTGTTATCCACTAGTTGTTATACTACATTTATACTGTATTTGTTAACATATATAAATTCTTGTAAAATCTTTGGTGTTGCAAGTTAAGACCTAAATGGCCCAGGCATGCTTAGTCTCTATGTTAATATTATATTGAAATGCTTTAATTAATTGCTTTAAATGAATTGATAGTAAAAAAATATTTTTAAAAGTATTGTGAGTAGTCAATATTGATTTGGAAGTAAGAGTTGTTGATAATTTTGTTAATATGTCTATTTATTGATTTAGAAACAATTTGAAAATGTAAATGAATTTCTAAAACCAGTATGTTATGATGTCTTTGTTAGAAAAGACAACTCTTTCCTTACGAATCTTATTTGTATGAATTTCAGTTCTGTGTCATTTTCATTAATTTCTGATGGCTACTTATTGCTAAAATATTTTTCCTTTCTCTAGGAAGCATCATGGCTGTGACAGTTGCTGATGAATTTGCTCCCAACAGAGAAAACCGATTTGTAGGAATTTGTATTGCACGAGAAGGAGTTGGACTTGATGCAAATTTCACACTCAGAAATGTTGTTGACAATCAAGGTGAGTATTACTATTTTAAATTTAGTAATTTGGAACTAAGACAGTAATGTATGACATTTTATTTTAGCTAAGATTTTTTTGGTTCAGATAACTATCTAAGAATCTTTGTTAAGGAATCTGCAATCTGTTTGTTGTTTGATATTTTCATTATTTCACCCTTATTCAACATCTCTCCAAGGATAGAAATTTCACTATGCAGTCTCTTGTCTAGAATTTGAGTGTAAAAATATACTGCGTCATAAGCAGAATTTTTTTTTTTTTTCTTTTTTGGCTAACACTGTTCTTTGCAGGATTTCTGCTTCATCAGGTTTTTCAACAGGTTTCTTATGACTTTTTTATTTTATGTACATCTGTAGCACATTAAATATGGCCATGTAAACATGAAAGACACTGACAAATTTTGGCAGATATATTTCTCTTAACTATACTCTGCTGTCAGTGTAAAACAAACAGGCAGTAGATTCAAGATCCAGTTGAGACGCAAAAAAATCTAATCAGTGTTAAAGTAAGATTCTGCTTTTATATGGCGTTTGGTGACATCTTTTGCTCAATGTCTGAAACTCATCTTAATTTATTTACATTAAAAATGAGTCATACACTTAATCAAAATAAAACTGAAGTATTAATTTTCAGCAACTTTATGAAATAGTATTCCTTGTGAAAAATATTTCTGTTTGACTGTTTTTGTTATAACATTTCACATTTCTCTGGTTATGAAAAAAATGTAACATTGTTACTGAATAGCATAACTATTTTTCAAGTTAGATCTGTGAGTAGTAAGGTGACTACTTTTAACAAAAATGTATTTAGTGGGATTATACTCTATATGTGAATGGCAATAGATTTTTTTCTGTCATACTAATATCACCTAATGTTTTTCAATTTAATGCAGCAAAGAATTGCTGTCAAAATATTCTTCTTGCTATGAAAGGTTTTATAGCAGTTGGGGGTAGCAATGTAGTAAATTAAAAAATTTGAGTTCAATCTCAGATTAAGTGATATTCAAACATTTAATATGACAATAATAGAAATAAAATTATAGATGATCTGATTTATGTTTATTCCTCAATTTATATAAAAAAAATTGTCAAACAACAGGTCAAAATATGATTTAGAAACCAGTGTAAGTTTGTCTCTATATTTCTAACAAAAACAATTCAATGACCAGAATCAGCATTGTAGGTAATGTCGCCCTCAAGTCCCTCCCGATCATCCAAAGGTCTGATACCCATGGCTGAGAAATAAGATGATCGCTTTGATCCAGGCCTTACCTTATCCCACGTTGTGATTTGTTTTGATCATAAGGTTGGCCAGGATCAAATCGTCATCAGGTATCTTCATATTGTCTGGTCCAAGTGGAATGAAGACGCAAGAAAAAGGAAATAGCTTGAATAAAAAAATATGTTTATATCTGGTTCTTGGTACAATATCTGGTTAGTTGTCAAAATCTAGCAGTTTGTATGCAGACGTTTATCAACCCAACCAGCTCCTTACATGTGACACTTTGGTGACTTGGTGAAGTTTGGCACAAGCCTGATGTTGGAGGTTGTCTTTGGTGGGCAGTCACATGGGGTGTCTCTCATCCAGCAGCTGGAACAATCTGCTTTTCTCACTTCAAAACCTTCGTATTTATTGATATTCACCCAAAATTGGTTCAGGGGTGTGATGCAGTTGGGTATTCAGTATCCTCTCCACCCATCACAAAGAACCCTTTCTCAAATTGTCTGGGTTCTGAAAATTAATTACTTCCTAATTTGGGGGATTCCCCTCTTCCATAGGTGACAGTCACAGGCGTTAATCCACCCCATAATTCCTTCTTTTGGTCACCTGATCAAATCTGTCTCCTTCCTGTTTTGTGTGAGTACCTCTCACTATCACCACTTGAGGGGCATGGAAAGCCCTCTGACTTCCCTGAAATTCTGCCTGGGCCCTCTTCTCCTTGGTCACCTGACCGACCTCATCCCTTGAGGGCTGTGTGTGGTCCAGTCCCACAGTGAAATTTTTAATTATCGTTCAAAATTCTTTCTTATCGTGCTTTCCTGTGTGGTTGTTTTTGCATCTGGAATCTATCATTTCTTTATTCCATTGTCAACTCTTTTCATCAACAATTGGCAAAAAAAAAAAAAAAGAACAATCCCTAGATTTTGGGAAGTTTTATTGCGGTTTGGCAGACGAAAAAAATTGTCATTCTTTTATCTATTTTCTTCTGGGAACCAGTTTGCCTCCAAAAGATAATACTTATACATCAGCTGAGCCCACAGCCAGGACTCCATTCATCCACTGGTCATAAAAATATTATCTCAGTTCTTAAGTGAGACCAGATGGTCACTTTGTTTTTCCTCCATGAGAAATTTAATTACTTTCTTCTAGTCTTTTTTTTTTTTTTTTTTTTAATTAAAAACAATTATCCCTTTCTTCCGATTTCCTTCGCTTGGTCATCGGTATATCTTTCATGCTATCCATCAGTCTTCTTATCATTTACCAGCACTAAATAGTGTCACATCAATCTTTCTGATTATAATCATAATCAACATATTTAAATTTTAACATGTGTGCATCATTTTTAAAAGTTTCTCAGTTGAAGCATCATATTGCTTTTTACATTGATACTTTAATTACTTGAAACCATTTCCCATAATCTTAGAATGTCAGCTCTTTAACACTAAGAAATCCAGTAATCCAAATTTAAGGAAGATGCGTCAGTATAGCAGTGAACCACTGGCAACAAAGAGAAACCAACATGTGTAGTCATTATCTCAGAGCTCATATGATTTTCTCAGTAAATGAAATTTTGCCTTGATTTGTGCATAGAATTTTTTTTTAATATCACATGTCGTATTTTCCTATGCAGGAAGTTTATCCCCCACTCCAAAAAAGCGAGATTTGTGTTGTAACCAAAACATAAGTTGATTTATACTAAAGCCCCTAAAATTCTCCATTGGCAAGAGCTATTTCTGGTTTACATTTAACATCATTAAGAGTCTTCAGAAAGATTTCCGCTAGTATGAGATAGCTTTATACCATTTCATTGCTAAATGGTGATTCTGCAGAAGTTTTTATGGCTTCCACATTCAGCTTCTCATTCATGTTTCTCTAAGATTCATTTGGAAATTCATCTCCATTATCACTAAAGCTATAAACATCGAATAAATTTTGGGGAGTTGTTGATGATATATGAACTCTGTATATCAGACTAATAGTGGGATATTGTCTAAACTCATGGTGGCCTTCTTAGGGGGTCAAGACTTTTGATAAATATTGAGACTTCCTGGGTTGTAATGAAAATGCCAATGAGATTATGCTCAGTGAGACAGGGGAAATCGGGGAGGGAATAGACATTGTCATCTAACATTGAACTCGAGGCAAAGATACAGATATTCAAACTTTACTAAGATGTTTGTAATGCCAAAAGGTTTATGATAATCATAGAATTCTTTAAATGGCAGATATACAAGTATTCTCATCATTTAAAAACAGAATGTCTAACTTGTCAGCTATTTTCTCTCTTTTCCTTTCCAATTTCATTTTCTAATACAAACGTGTGTAGAGGGAGAGAGAGAGCAAAAAATGCTCCCAAATTTGAAGATTGAGCTTTCTTTGTCTACAAGAATAGGTTGCATTTTAAGACCCACTGTGATAAATTGTCAATATGGTACACTCTGCTACCAATTGCCAAACAGCAGATTGAAACATAGCTTCCACATCAATGAACCCCACTAAAAACAATCACATAATCATCATATTTGGAAGAATTTACCAAAATTACCTTGTTCTGATTTGATCAAATTTGGAAGAATTTTCTAACATTACCTTGTTCTGATTTGATCAAATTCTTACATAAAACAATTTTACTGACCATTACATTCAATTAACTGTTGTGCAAAATTTAAAATGGCAAACTAAATTCAACTTTTGTACTCAAATCTTGAAGAAACAATAAGAATTTAATTCTTTTTAGACCTTGTCCCTTTGCCAGTCATCTCAATAGAGATTTCTGTCACTGTCATATTAGTTACAGTTGAAGGTGACATGATGAGAATTTCCAATTCATGAACTTCAGTACATGAAATAAGAGAATATGTAACCATTTACATTCAATCACTCTTCTCAGATCATCCTGCACAGTTTTTAAGACGAAAAAAAGTCTGATAGAATTAAAGACAAAAGGAAACAACATACAAACAGAATGGCTGCATCTTCATAAAAAAATTAAATTTTTGGTACTACAATATATAAACTATTTTGATAAATCAACCTTTTCTCTCTGAAATGATAAAGTTTGCATATTATTTGTTTTGCAGGAATTGAAATAAGATATGAAATGTATCATCCTCATATTCAGAAGATAGAAGTGTTAAAACTAGAAAAACGGTTGGATGAGGAATTGTACTATTTGAGAGATGCCCCTCCAGAATACAGTACAATTCCTTTTGACTTTGAGCCAGTGCAGTTTGCTAAAGGAAGCAAAGTACCTGTCAATCCTATAAAAGTAAGTAAATATTTGATTGAAAAGAAATTTTGTATTTGGAAAATTATTAAGTCCTGAGCAGAGAATTAGTTTGAAAATGCAACATGGACATCAAATTTAATAAACAGTGCTCCAATTTTAGATTGACCAGTTGAGGTTAATAATCATTAAATGAAGACATTGAGAATAAGCAGTGTTATAGCAGACAGAAGAGAGCCAAAAATGCTCAAAATCATTCTTAACACTTTGGTTATGATAGTCACTTTCATGTGTAGTTTCCAAAAAAAAAAAAAATTGTATTTGCTTTATTTTAAAAAATTTGAATTGTGGAAGACATTGAAAAGTGAATATTTTACAATGTGGGTCAAGTGAAATAAAGTCTCGCTAACCATATCAAAGGCTGGTTTTTATCCAAAGATGATGCTGTTTATATTATGTGATTATTGTTACTCTGGTAAACTAAATGAATAATTCAAATAACTTCTGTTCGCAATTTGATCAACTGAGGGCAACAATCAATGATCAAAAGGTGTCTGTCCAGAATTTAAGAAAAAGAGCCAAATATTTGCACATAATAATATTAAACTGCATATTTCTTTGGGGAACAGACAAAAATGATTTGAGCTTAGCTGGAAAATTTTCTCTCATCTGTCAATCTTAACAAATCATTAGATTATCATTAATTCTATTTTTTACAAAATTCTCTTAATGAATGCAGTTCTCTGGAAGACTGCAAAAGGCAGCTCTTTGCTGAAAAAGGATGGAATTATGAAGTTAAGTGAAAGACGGTAAAATACCGTAAATCAGTCAGTTATGTGCCATGCATGATACATGCTTAGGCGATCATGTATCGAAAGATACATGACTGACGAGGCAGATTTTTTCCTGCAGTAGGTTGTCATTTCTTTCTGTGGTAGACGAGTTGCCATCCAAAGCTATAGAACCCAGTCTGTCCTGCTATTTACCCATAGCTGGGGGAGAAGAGGATTCATACCTTTTCCAAGGGTATTAGCATGTAAGTGAATGTAATGGATTCGACTGGAATTTGAACTCGACTCTCCGATTCCTCAATCTGTATCGCTATCCATTACTCCACCGTCAAAAGTAATTTTTTTTTTTTAATGTTTTTATTAATAAATAAAAATAACTTTTTACTTTTAGCCAATAGTTTGGTATTTTCAATGCAAGATAAAATGAAGTGTTCCTAATTGCAAGTTTCTTGCTGCCATTATTCTTAATGATACAGGACTTAACTAGGTAAATATCAACTTGATGAATATTAAATTATCTTAGAGACTATGTAAGATGATTATTATTTATTTATTCAAGGTGAAGTTGAACCCTCGCCCTTGGCTCCAACGATATGAACGGATGAACTTAAAAGGTGTGCAGGACCTTGAGCTTCCTCAGAGATTTTATGACAAAGCAGCTAAGGTTGCCAAGCCTTGGGAGGAGAAAGATCTGATGAAGAATTACAGAGAAACTATTAATGATGATGAAGCTGCAAAGATATTCCATGAAGTTTTATCTCACACTTTAGATTATAAAGAAACCCCGAAGAAACCATAACTATTTTTATTTATTTTTTTTTTAAGCATTTTTGTAAAAGGTTGTAGAAATATATGAAAACACAATTTTTGTAAATACTGAATAAAAAAATGAAACAATTCCCTGGAGTTCTTAGTTGAACAACTTAGAGAGATTTGTTTGGAAAAGGTAATTTATTGTTGTTACTAAAACAATGACCAACTGATAAACTTGTTGCTGGTTGTGTAGGTCAGGCCAATATGGATTCACCATGGAAGGATTTTCTTTGTTAACAGGAACCCTTAAAGGCAGTCTCATGCATAAATTAGAATCACATGAGACCTCCCCAGAATCTCTGCTTATTGATTATTTACCTGAAGAAGAGACCTCAACAATATAAAGGATGACCTTAGTCTTGGAATCTGAATGATTCTTCTCAAACTCAGTATCTATCTATATTTTTGAGATGAGGTATTATGTACACTATTTACATTATTTGGACTATTGTCCTCATTTTTGTTGACATATTTATCACAACGTTTCGGCAGTTGTATGCCCTGGCCTTCTTCAGGTGGTTGGAATGTCGAACTGAACCCTTTATTTCACTTACTGGGGTAGACTGTTCTAGTTCCACATGTCATGTCTAATGTATGTCAGTTATCTCCTGTTAATTCTCCTCTCCAAGTTCTCCACCGCCTTAACCAGTTATTGAACTCACACTTTTTGGGTCCTGTCACTGGATCCACTGCACCATGTGTCCTCAAGGACAGAACTTGGAGTGGGGAATTAACAGGAGATAACTGATGACATCCATTAGACACGTAGAACTAGAACATCCATTTGGCACGTAGAACTAGAACAGTCTACCCCAGCGAGTGAAATAAAGGGTTCAGTTCGATATTCCAACCACCTGAAGAAGGCTGGAGTGTATAACAGCTGAAGTGTTGTGATAAATATGGAAACAAAGATGAGGGCAATAGTCCAAATAATGTAAATAGTGTCTTCTCAAACTTTTAGACAATTACCAAGTTCTATTCTTCTTCATTTTCTCAAAAGTAGAGAAATATTCAGTACATACAGAATGTTTTTTTATGTAATTGACTTTAGAATATAAATGAAATATAAAACTATAAAATTTGGCCTCATGCAAATACAGGTATACCTCACACTGTATTGTTAATTGGTTCCAAAGGTCACGACTTGTGTTGAAAAATGACTTAAGTTGAAATAACCGCACTATAAACCGCAAATAAGTACTCCCCATATACAATCATCGATACTGTTGTTCGATTCACACCAAAAGATTGAGCAATTGATATAACCTTTTTCATAGCATTTTAGCATAGTAAGTTTATCGTCTAGCATTATAGCATGATGCTTAGCACTTGCATTAGGAATTTTCTTAGGAGCCATTGGGGCAAAATATAAAGTCACAAATGAATGAGAGAGTAGGTAATACATAGACATATACTGTGTGTATATACTTAAACTAAACTGGATTTCAATTTCATAGGAATCACAAGTGTCACTGACAATGCCACCAAATTGTAGATATTGGAACTACCGTGGAAAACACTAATATTGAGCTCTTAAAGACCGCTAAATAAGATAACACAGTCACAGATGTTCTCTAGGATTTATGATTAACAATTACTGTAAATGTACATATTTTAATATGATTTTATATACTTTTATTCTTATTTATTGTACAGTTACATGAGTTTATGTGCTTTTAACACTTTTCTTGTGATATTATGACTTCAATATTTGTGGAAGACAAACATAAAGTCGAATAAAATTACTTAAACTTGATTTTAATTTTTCCATATAGTTTGACAAAGGACGTATAATTGAGAACAACTTAGCTCAAAATGACGTAAGCTGAGGCATACCTGTACATCTTGAATATAATAGGACAGTTGTACCTTTAAATATAAGTTTTGGGTCACAATGAATACTCTAAGAGTTCAATATGTTATAAAATAAAATAAGACATATCTCGGCTGATTTGCAGGCAGATAAACTAACATACTCAAGAGCGAGAGCCGGATGTGAACGGGACAAGGCCCTGTCACATAATGACCATTATCTTCGTTTACCGACGTACGAGTTCCGGTCGAAAATAAAATAATATTTTAAAGTGTTTCTATTTTTCGACTAATAAAAATGCTTCCCTCCTAATTATACTCACGTCATTTTTCGAGCCTGTTAAGCCATAAAAAACGCCATAAAAGGGGTCATACGGGGAAGTACACCAGCAGTCAACAGGAGGCCAGGGAAGAGACCTGTCATGGTCAGTCAGCAGCAGGAGGAGCACCACACCAATCAGTGAGAACTACTATGGAGGTCAACCCAGATCAGCAGCTGGCTTATGAACTATACCACAAGGTAACTGTCCCAAATCCACATGTTCCTGTTGAAATAAATCACGTAAATCTATTTTTGCTGTTGTATTTCTTTTTTGCAACCATACGCTTGTCTATAACACTGGTACAGGAGTGTACAGCAAGAGAAATATGGACGACTACACAAGCTTCACCCGAGCCAAACTATTTACTCTCATCAAGGAACAGAAAACACTACTATTCAACTTGAAAACGGGACCAACACAGCCTTCTGAAGCCACGATACAAGAAATTCAAGCCGACATAAACGACATGCTGACTGCCCTAAAATCAACTACATTAACACCTCTTATGGCTCAAACAAACAACAATTAAAGCTTAATGATGCGCCAACAAACTATACGCGACATATTGAAGCTAGAGAGAACTTTTCACCCTGGACACGATGTGAACCGATTCATCACGGCTCTAAACAAAGCATACACAATCCACGTCACGCCAGAACTCGGCACCTGGAATGTGAATTCGTCAAGTCTGCTAAAGATTTACTGGACCAAAGTATCTTTCAGCAGATGATTGACTCAAAAAAAAGACATATCCACCTTTGAACAACTGAAGGAATACTTATTAGCAGCTCACGGAAGCCACATGACTAACTTCCAACACCTCAGTCAAGCCTGGGATCTGGAACGGCGAGACGGCGAAAAACTAACAGACTTTCTTTGAGGTAGACTCGAAAAACACCCTTAGAGAGGCAGCCGTCCACATAAAAAACAAATACAAAAAGACAAACTTAACAGTCGATGGACTTATTTCCATCATCGACGCTATGCTAATGAGCGAAAAGGTGAAAATTTGGAACTCAAATCTTTACCCACATCTTGTCAAGACAATGGACAACCACTATTCAGCCATCGGCATAGCCTCCGAAGCTCAAAGATACCTTGATCGCAGTGTAAAATCCAACAACACGACTTCGCACGACACTGTGTATTTCACACAAAAACCACAGTGGTCAAACCAAAGAAACGCGCCACTTCCATCCAGCAGGCAACCAAACCCACAGCAGATGGGCCTCACCAACCCTCCCAAACATGGCCACCACCCAACACACAGAAACCATCAGCACACACCACGAATCAGTGTGTGCAAGAACTACCTCAGAGGTCGCCCCTGTCTCCATGGACGCAACTGCCTATATCGCCACCCACCTCTCACTCAGGCACAGGCCCATATCGCCGCAACAAATGATAATATACAAGCCATGATGTGGAACAGGATTTTCGTTTCGGGCAAGACGAGATGTGATGCCTCGTTCGCCGTGCCCCTATGTCAGCCATCACACCTTCAACTTTCAAGGACTCGCTCACCATTCACTGCTCGTCTAGTCCACCTTCAACTTCAGGGACATCACCTTCTCTGGCGTCGCAATGCTAAACTCTGGATGCTCTAACTGCATCTTACCAATATCTCAGTTACCCAGAGAAGCCAAGAAACACATGACCCGCTCCGACATCACCATCAGCAGTCGAGGCTCAGCCACATTTAAAAAGGTTAATGTGCTGGTAACTACCCAAACTACACCGATCCTGATAGGCCAAAATATCCTGTCACAACACACTTGATTCCTATCTAATCAACAACCAAAATGTGACTATAGAATTCAGACGCACACTTTCCTCAGGATACACAACACACACAGCCGCAATCATATCACCGTCATCGTCAACCAATGATCCAGCATATGGCGCCCAAGCTGACATCATCCAAAACCAGCCTACTATGGAACTACAGCCCAACATCCAGACACTGGATCAAAAGCTAACCTGGCTAAAGCATAGCACGGGGCTATTGCTACCAAACCACCTGACCCGAGACGGACTAGAGGCCACTGCAAACTTATTCATTCGCTATGCTGACATTATCGGCACAGAAAGCAGCAGCAAAGGCACATTCATCCGACCAAATCCGTATACCAACCAATGGCCAGTCTCGCAGCCAGAAACAACACCCGATCGCCCAGGCTTTGGAAGCAGACGTTGATACTGAAATTAAGCACATGGCTGATGAAGGTATCATTGAAAACTGCAGCAACCCCAAAGGCTTCAATAGCCCTGTATTTGCCATACGCAAGAGAAACGGATCGATTCGCATCGTCGCTAACTTTAAAAGAACTCTCAACAAGGTCTTACCCAATGCCAAGGATCGACCACTTGTTCAACAAAATCGGCAAAGGCAATAAATATTTCACTTCCCTCGATCTACGCAGTGGCTACTGGCAAATTGAGATCGACAAGCGAGATCAATACAAAACAGCATTTACATGGAAGGACCAATGCTATCAATACACGCGCCTGGCCTTTGGCCTTACATCTGCTGGACAAATCTTCTCCTGTTGCCTCGCAGAAGCCATAGCCACGGTCACATCCCGTGACAACATTTCTTCTTATATCGACAACAACCTGGTCCACGCTAGGACATTTAGGGAGTACATACTCTCCCTCGAACAATTTTTTATAGCCCTCCGAAAATTCGGACTCAAGCTGAATCCCGATAAATGTTCCTTACTCGCATCAGAGGCAAAATTCCTCGGACACATAGTAAACAGTGAAGGATCCAAGGCTGATTCAGAATACATTCGTGCCATCAGGGAAATGAAACCTCCAACATCAAAAAAGGAATTACAAAGCCTTATCG